GCCCGTGAGCGGAAAGGACTAGACAGTCCGCGAAAGGTCACGCGGTGAGCATGAAGAAGCAGAGGCGTGGGTGTGGTGCATGTAAGAACATGGGTGAATCTTCGGTCGGGCTTCATTGGAAAAGACATTAGCGCGGCGCTTGTGGGAACATCTGCAGAGAATAGATATTGGCTCTTTTCCCCACGGAAACCGATATGGCATTTATTTGATTTCATTCTTTTTTTCGGACGAGAACGTTTCCTCCTTGTCCTATAAGCCTGAACGGATGTACGTACGGATACCTGGAAAAACGGTCGCGGATCGTTGTCCGAGTCGCCCTACCAATACACGCGCACAGGTGCAGTGGCTCCTCCGAAGACTCGAACATGGAAGAACATGCCAGTTCGTGCGCCTTCGGCATGGATTCGAGTCCCCAGTACTTTGCTCCGGGTCATCTCCGCAAAACCCGACTTTTTGATGGTTGATTAAGAGCAGTAACGATCGATACAGTGCAGTTGCACAGGGGATCCATGGCGGCCCCTCATGCTTGAGCGCTCCCAAACTGTGATACTCCGAACTCGAATGATGCTCTGCCTCGCGATAGACAATACATGTTTCCAAGATGCTCGCTTGGGAGCTCCCTCAACATTCTGGCTTCACTGCTCGCGCGTGTTCGAGAAAACTATACAACAAGCGGTATGCACCGTGCTGCTGTTTTCGCAATGGACACCGTCTGTCTTGAGGTGGAACAGTAGAAAACCTGCGGCGGATACACCGGTAGCTTTCTTTCTATGCGGAGCAGCAGCGGCAAGCCCGTTAAAGAAACCATGGCAGTGAGAATGAAGTACGCCCACCACGATCCATGTCCTCAGCAGGCACCGTTCTAAAACCCTCAATCATAGTCCCTACGCCTCTCTCCTGCGCCAACCTCACCAGCTCACCACCCACAACCACGTCCATAAGTCCCAACCCAACACTTTTATACACGACGTTACCTCTCGTCAACCACTCCTTCAATCCACTATCCCCCTTGACCTGCAATCCCTCACCATCTTCATCCTTGCCGTGACCCTCCTTTGCCCTCTTCGCCTCCGCCTCCCGTCTCAACATGACGAGCTCGCCGAGTTCGACGACCTCGTCCGGCTGCAAACCTGCCTGTACCACCTCCCCAGCCTCCTGCAGGCACGCGCTCACCGAGTCCACAACCACGGCTCCGCCCTCCTTCTGGTGCTTGTGGAAGTGACGATGCTCGTGGTGTGGCGCGACCGCTGCGTGCAGGATCGACGGGTCCAGCTCGATCATATGCGGCTTGTATGATCCGACGGCGACAATGTACCGCCCCTTTCGGCGACCTTCGGGGTTCGTGAGGTAGGATCCCGGGAAGAGCGGCGCTGTGGAAGGGGTTGTGCAGATGATGACGGAGGCGTCGCGGACGTACTGTTTCAGCAGTCGCGTGTATTCGCCGTGACCGGGCGTCAAAACTGCGGTTTTCGTCTTGCTGTTGTACTTGTGGCCGATCGGGTTCACGTAGGACGGATCCTCGGGGAACGGATTGTATAGTCCCATGAGCAGCTCACGGGCACGGTCGAAGGAACGGTTGATCACGTTGACGTGATGGATCTCGCTGCCGCGGAGGAGGAGCGCGAGCCGGATGTGCCAGTAGGCTTGCTTGCCGGCGCCGAAGACTGTCACATCATGCACGTTGTGCCGTTTCTTCAATATCATTGTGCTGGCCAGAGCAGTGCGGAAGGCTGTCAATTCTTCGGCATTAATGAGGCCAGAGGGTGTACCTGTTGGAGGTCAGCATCCTTTCAGAGTTCTCGGCGTCACTAACGGGATCGAGCGTGGGCCAGTTTTCAACAAGCTGGTCGGCAGATGCTGGCTATATCTGAGCCATTACTCGAGAGAGATGACTGGGAAACAACAATCTACCGAGAACCCCAAAGGTACCCGTTAGGAAACAAATGGGCAAGAGTCGATGCGTAGTTCGGCAGTTCGTTGGAGAACGCTGGCATGCACTGCTCTTGTGATATTTCTCTGTTCAGTAAAACGTACCAGAAGAATTGAAGAGGGTAAGTGAGCCTCTTGGCGTGGTACTCTGGGTGCTCGAGATCGACGGTGGCGGGACGATAGCTGAGGATGATGAAGAACTGGTAGTCGAGACAGAGGGCCTCGGTGACTGAGCTTGTCTGCCTAGGAGGGGTCAGTATACTATTAACATTCTTGGTACAAACTACAGAATCAGGATACGCCGGTTCTCGACAGGCCAACTACGCGAGAGGAATGACCCTCTAAAGACACCACTCATGGAAGCGCGGCCCATCACGCGAACATCTGCCTTGCGCCTCACGTGATTGGGTAGTCATCTCGACGGGAAGCCGCCTTCTAGTGCGGACAGCCCGTCGAGAACACCAACATCTGATCACACTCTGTCGGGCAGACCACGTACTGGAAGATACTGAAAGCTTTTCAATGCCGCTCGGATCAGGATCGTCTGGAGCCTGGAGAGTAACTATCTTGACACCAAGGTTGTTGTTGCTGCTTGCAGGCATGAACAATGTGGTTGATCCGTCTCTGCGCTTGAGAGACGTCCGCATAGGCTGATATGAGGAACAGCAGCCATTGTCCTCGACAGCTGTGGAGTAAAAGTGCAGCGCGTCTGCTAACGATTGCTGAAGATCCAATATGTCCTCTCTCGTAAGAGAATGCAGAAGCTTCCGGACGTCAGAGTCTGTGAGAACGGTGAGGGTCATGATGGCTTTTTGGCGAACGCGACAGAAAGAACAGATTGACAGCTCGAGTGTATATACGAGACGAAGTAGAGAAGGAGAAGAGCAGCTCGGTATGGATCAAGGGTACTTGATAGAAGTAGCAACGATGAATGATCCTAAGCTCGGGAAGCGGAAAGCTGACAAAGTCGGCTTGGATCAGGTAAGCCAACAGATTACGCACGCGATTGAGAAAGGGCAGGCTCTTCGCGTCCTGAAGTCCAACTTCAACACAAACAAAGAGATGCACCAGTCCACAAGAGCTTCGAGGTGAGACGTTGTAACCTGCGATGACAAGAACAGAAAAGAGAAGACGCGTTACGGGCCGGAGTGTGAAACGCCGAGAGATTGATAGAGGGGCAGGGGCAGTGGCAGTCGTTATCGCCTTCCTCCCACGAACAGCCAATACCACCAGGAAGTAAAGAGCAAAGAAGCTTCTATGAACCACAAGCTCAGAATGCAGCCACTTTGAGTTGCCTGTACCGTCAACTTTGTAGGCCCCGAGGGTTGTCGTGCAATACGCGAACGATGAGTGAATGCAGCAGCAACTGATCGATGTTCGAGGTCCGCTCGGCAAACAGGACAGAAGCCACACTCGACACGGACGGCTCGCTTGAACCCCGGCACCGTCCGGCTTGGCGCTGTGCGCACCATCTCTAACTTCTCGCGAAAATTCATTCGAACTTCTCGACCAGCGAACACGCACCCGACGACAACCACCCAACGACCTCGACACCTCATCGCCAGCACAATGGTAAGCTACTCACGCGAAATGCAACAGCATTGATACAGCTGCGTCGCGGTGCATTGCAAGAAATTGCCTGCCTGCACCAGCGAATATCCCGCCGTCCCTCTGTCTCTGCGCATGGACTGGTGATGATCAATGGCTTGGGCTGTGCTGTGGTAGAAATACCCAACATGGCCCTTTAGAGACAAGGCGATCAAGCAAGTTGGACAATTGCTGATTGCTTTTCTCAATGACAGCCTCCTAAGTCCGGAAAGAAGGCCGCGCCAGCGCCCTTCCCTCAGGGCCGCGCCGGTGTTTCTAAGAAGCAGGCCAAGGTAAGTACATTGCTCTCATCCCCTCGCTCATGCCAGACGGCTGTGGCTATCCAGCAGCATTCGCTGACGTTCTCCAGAACCCTCTCATCGAGCGCCGCCCCCGCAACTTCGGTATTGGCCAGGACGTCCAGCCCAAGCGCAACCTCTCCCGCTTCGTCAAGTGGCCCGAGTATGTCCGCCTTCAGCGCCAGAAGAAGATTCTGAACCTCCGCCTGAAGGTCCCCCCTGCCATTGCTCAGTTCCAGAACACTCTGGACCGCAACACCGCTGCCCAGACCTTCAAGCTCCTCAACAAGTACCGCCCTGAGACCAAGGCCGAGAAGAAGGAGCGTCTCCACGCTGAGGCTACCGCTGTTGCCGAGGGCAAGAAGAAGGAGGATGTCTCCAAGAAGCCCTACCACGTCAAGTACGGTCTCAACCACGTTGTCGGCCTCGTCGAGAACAAGAAGGCTTCCCTTGTTCTGATCGCCCACGACGTTGACCCGATTGAGCTGGTTGTCTTCCTTCCCGCTCTCTGCCGCAAGATGGGTGTCCCCTATGCCATTGTCAAGGGCAAGGCCAGGCTCGGCACTGTCGTTCACAAGAAGGTTTGTGTGCTCTGCATTTCTCATTGCCTGCACCAATGCTAACACGCCCGTTTCAGACCGCTGCTGTCCTTGCTCTCACCGAGGTTCGCGCCGAGGACAAGAACGAGCTGAGCAAGCTCGTTGACACCATCAAGACCGGCTACATGGAGAAGAATGAGGAGCTCAAGCGTCACTGGGGTGGTGGTATCATGGGTGCCAAGGCCATCGCTCGCCAGACCAAGAAGCAGAAGGCTCTGGAGAGCGCCATCAAGATCTAAGTGCCTCCTTTCTGACGGTTCCTGCGTCGGCGTTGTTGTATCTGTTGGGAACGGGGATGGAAAAGCGAACTCCTTTAGTACTGACAGCGGAAAATGGCATCTCTGATATGAACTTTCTAATGATACCCAAACTTCTCTCGAAACGGTGTCATTTCCATCTTACGTGCAAGATCGTGCGGCGAATCCTCGATATGGTTGGTGAAGAATTTGCACAAAATTGCAAGTCTATCATTCCGTGAAGGACAGCCGGCCCTTATGGAGCACATGAGAAACTCCAGACTATGCCCAGAAGTCGATCCATAAGAAAAAGAAAAGAAAACAGTAACTCACAAGAAGGCAAAAGTTGATGCAGCTTACCCGGATCGAACGGGTGACCTCCAGATATTGGTGACTGAGGTGGTAACTTCAGTCTGGCGCTCTCCCAACTGAGCTAAAGCTGCGTGATTCTTATGAAAAAGTTTGTTAAAATAATTGATATCGCTGATCCGGTATTGCTCGAGACCGGCCGACGAGAGCGTTAGCACCAATAGGAGAATGTATGCGCCTTGGAGTACTGGCAAGAAGGCTAACTGACCGCTCAGGTGCAGGGAGTCGAGGTGCCGACAAGAGAAAAGTGAGATGGGAGGAGGTTGAATTTATATGTGTATTGGTTTTGCTGGTTATGGTTTGTTGCCTGTTGAAGCATACGTGCGCGAAATCAGCCCATACAAACTAACGCTCCTCTCACCGTTCTCTTCGGCGACTCCCCAGTTCACGTCAGATAGGTATTCCAGGTGATCAACAATGCTGATATGTAGGCAAACGATGGCGAGGAACATGTACGGAGAGTTTCAGAGCGCGCGGTCAACTATTCGCACGCCAAGCATTTTGTAACGTGCAGATGTCTGGAAGGCTGCCCTCTAGAGGCATGCAGGCAAGCAGTTGAACACTGATCCCTATCCTAGGGTAGAATAGGTGACTCGATGCTTCAAGCAGACAATCGTTGAGCCGGTGGTCTGCTCAAAAAGCTGGCGTTTGTCTCCTTCTAGTGACCCTACTTGACGAAGCTTTCAAACTCGCTTGATAACGCGTCGTCAAATGAGAACGACGAAGGCGTCCAGAGGTGCAATATCCTTGGTGTAGTGCTCGCGAACATTGAGTAGCCGTTTGCGGCGATGTTCCACTTCGCCTTGAAAGGATCGTTCTGCCAGAGAATGGTCGAGAGGCCGGAGATGTTCTCGTGTTTAAGTGGCTTGAAGATCGATGCTAGGTAGGTTAAGCCGCCATCAAAGCATGCAGTGGGCCAAAGCTGAGTAATGCTATTTGCAGTCTTCAAGCTTGTCGTCTTCTTAGAAAATTCCTTGCGCTGCGGGGTTGCGCCGGCAGCAGCAGCGAGTGTTCCTGAAAGTTGCCTCTCCGCCCTCCCGCTGAGACGGTAACACCGGTGATATTTTGAAGGCTCGGTCGGTTCCTGAACCGCGAAGTTAAGCTGAGGTGAACCTCCTCTCAAGCCTGCGAGATGTGGCAGAGATGACTTGGCAGAGGGTGACTAGTGCGATGCTTGGGTTGACGCTCTGGGTGAGAATTTTTCGCCCGACTGCGAAGGCGGCGGAGGTGCTCCCGACAGTGGGAAGAGCGGAGAGGAAGAAGATACTGGCCTCGCGTTTCCGACCGAAAACAGGCCCGCGGGGGTACCGGGGGTGGCTGGCTGCTGCTACTTCTCTGTGACAGCCGCCGCGCATGACTACGTCCGGCCAGCCGTCTCGAGCCACTTCTTCACTGCATTGCTGCCGTCATGTGCTGCGCGAAAAACTATCGTCTACTGTCAGCTGTATTCGTGATCAAGCCAGAAATGAAGGAACTGACGTTGTCTCTCCGTCTCATCGAGCCCTCTAGCAAAGTCTGCACCTTCACCCAATGCGCTCCGGGAGTTGGACGCTTGATCCGCAATCTCGGCTGCTCGCTTCTTGAAGGTCTGATCGGCTGTCAGCATGTTTCGCTCATTAGTTGTTCTGTAAGGATAAAGGAAGAAGTACGTTAGTCAGAATCCCCACCATCTCTTCTTCCTCAAAGAGTTCCAGCATGCGGGCACCAATGCCATAATAGTGTGGAGCTTGAGCTCTGAGGTCGACAGTACGTGGATCGGCCTTCAAAGCGTTCATGACTCGCTGTGAGAGTGCAGGCGGCAGGTCTAGTGTTGCGAGTGACGAGCTTCCGGAAGGGTTACTGACGGCGAGCATTTCTCCGAGCCACAAAGGAAGTTCGACCCTGGTGCCTTGGTTCATCTGTAGATATGGATGAGCAAGAGTAACGACAGGGTGAAGGAAGCACGCGTAAGGATGGACTCACGTCTTCTCCGGCGTTGCCTGTAAGATAACCCAGGTGAGGAACGGAGACTTCAAAGGTGCAAGGCACTTTCTGTGGTTGTTTGTAAGACGCAACGAGTGACAAACATTCACGTGCTTGGAGCACTCACCTGCGCATCGGTCAGGATGGCATCAATGTCGTAGTACGAGGAAGTCATCGGTCGAGTCAGGTGGAATTGAGTGTGGCGAGCGCGGTATTCGTTCGCCAAAGCACTAATGGGGTGGGGGAATAGACGTTCTGCGTTTCGGAGTTCAGAGTTCAGGCAGGTCGGCCCAAGAGTGGAAGAGGCGTAATCGTCTGTCGCCTTCCGATGAACCACGTAGCTGCTACTGCCTGCAACCCTGCTATTGCTCGTGGGTGGCTGCCGCTGGCGTGATACAAAACCCCCAACCAGTAGGTTCTCCAGTGAACTTCGCTCGGTTTGTTGTACCTCGTTTCTTCACCCTTTGAAACCTCGAAACCGTGTTTATAGGACCTTGGGACGCGACGCGTTTGCCTTTGATCGACGGTCTTGGCATCTATCTCTCTGTCCGGGGAAGCCGATGAGGTCAAAGCTCCACGTCTTCCGGAGACATACACAAGTAGTCAGCATCCAAGAGAAAGCGGCGTACAGCAACCAGGCGCACAGAAAGACTCGCTCTCGTGTGCCGCCGCTCCTTTTCCTCCCAGGTGTCAGGCGCGCTGAAGACAATTGCCGGAGCCATTTCTACATTCATCATACCTACAAAAACAACAACATCCTCACGGGACAGACGCCAACTCTAGCAAACGCGCTGAAGCTTGCCGATTAGTCGCTCAGCGAGTGTCGTGTGAGGAAGACATCCACTACAGAAGTGTCAAATCGCACTAAACTCTGATACTTCAATAGCTCTGGATCCTTCTTACGCTCTTTTGCCGCATGCCTACCTTCCACGATACCAAAACCTAACATATCTTCATCACTTCTACCATGGATGATGGTCCTCACGACGGTCCTCGCTCGGGGGCATGTCGAGACTGGTCGTGCAGATGAACGGCTATGGTGGAAATGACACATCGAGGGCGACTTCGCCGGGCGGAGCTTGGAAAGACACAAACGACGAGACCGATGGCTTTGATTCCAAGAAGTACGGTCGGAGTCGGCCGCGTATCTTTCCATACACCAAGTACCTTCCGTATGAGACAGAGCAGGCACAACAGAGGGAGAATGACTTGGACGAAATGATCAAGCACCTGCACATCGCCGTGTCATCGGCAGACTTTGTTCCGGGAGCAGTGCATTGGACAAAAGAGATACGAGGGTGGATGGCACTCAAGTTTGATCTGACGAGGCGGCAAAGAACGACTCTGGTCAGGCTCTATTACGAGCTGTCTCTCGCACCGGGTATCGAATATTCTGTCTCGGAACGCTTTGCAAGCATGTTCATGGTCCTCACCAAGTAAGACACCTGCACCATGTTTGAGGCATGGGGGCTAATCATTCCAGGCGCAAACACTATCTACGTCCCGGGAAGGACCTCATTCTCGACTGGAGGCCATTATACAAGGAGCTCAAAGTGTTCGTTCTGCCCACAGAGTCCTCGAGCCAAAGCACCTATTCCAGCAAGCGCAACATCCGCACCCTTACGAAGTTATGCACGTTCGCCCAGCTCTTCTTCGATCCCAAGGAGATACCCGCCATGCTGGAAGAATTCGTCCCCTACTTCAGCATGTCGTTCTCCGAGCACGCCTTTGTCGTTGTTGGCCTGCTCAATCTTATGCTCCCTACCTCTCCGCCTCCGCCGGGTGAGCCAAAATTGCAGCCGCAGTACTATCTGCCCACACTTTTCCACCTCTGGTCACTTGTCAACCGTTCGCACACAATAGACCAACGTTTCATAGACATATTCTCTCGATTAGCCCGGGATTGTCTTGGCGCAGAGCACCTGCCTTTCTCTGAGCATGGCATCTTTACTGCCGATCAATCTTCTCTCATATTCAGTGCCGTTCTGAGATTGTTGGAGATTCCAGTGGGCCAGGCTACCTCACCGTATAGCACCCATGTGGACCTCGGTTCAGGGCTCTCTATCCTTCTCGAGAGGGATCAGCGGAAGCACCCAATCGCACATGGTATTGCCAGGTGGATCGTCATGTCTTTGTCGCCGGCGTGTCTGGAGGCATCGGAAAAGTCCATTCTTCATCAGCTCGAGGGGCTTATCCAAGGTATTGAGACCTTCTTTCATCCCTCCAACTCCGGCTCCTGGACGAAAACCCTCTCGCAGCTTGTGTATTATCTGGCAGATTTCTTTGTCATGCGATGGAACAGGGAACAGAATGGCGAGTACGATGTTCCTCCAGAAAGGCGACTCAACAAAGAACTCAAGAAGCGCTTTGTGCTGTGTCTTCGAGACGTTATCTTCATGGGCATCTACGCGAAGAGCGGTACCGCCATGAACTACTCTTTGTCTACACTGCAAAGCCTGGCTTTCCTTGAACCAACTCTGATATTGCCTGGAGCACTCCAGAGGATATATCCAGCTATGCAAGGCTTGGTAGAGCCGCATCGGACCATCTCGTCGATCAGAGCCCTGCAGATGTTGTCCAGGACGATGGCACGAACCAAAGGTTTCAGATGTCACTTGACTACACTTCTGGGTCTGGCTCTTCCTGGTATCGACGCCAACGACTTAGACAAAACCATGCATTCCCTGGCATTCATACAGGCCGTTTGCTACAATATTCCCCTACATGACCTCACTAAAGAGAAGTCTACTGATACTGATGGCGTCTCAGAGGATGACCATGCTGGCGGTACTGCACCAGCAGTAGCGTGGATCACAGAGCAAGTTACTCGATTCGAGACGGAGGGTGCATTACTCAATATTGACTATGAAAACGAGCTGACGGACGCGGACGAGGAGTTGATTCTCCGCTCGTCCACCGCTGGTTTCGCAGAATTCCTGATATCATTCATCGGGCGCGTTTTCACTTTGCTGCAAAATCTCCCCGATGCGTCCCGGGTTAAGAGTGGTTCGCCAGAAGAAAACATCGTGAACACTCTTCCGGCAACATTCTCCCTTTGTTGGCTGCTCTTTCGCCAGAGCTTTACGACATTGCTCTCCAGCAAATCTCCAAA